CTTTCATTAGCATCAGACAATGGCATTTAGAAGAGGGCTGGCTAGCCAAACAACCTCCTCGTGGTGCCAGCTGGGAGGTTCGGGTAAATCCCGTTCCAGCAAATGGTTCGGCGGCAGTGTTCCAGGATGTGGTGGGACTTCGCCTGGCAAGAGTTCTCCCTATAAAATCCACAAGTATCCGTTTAACAAAGCTGTAACGTGGCGGATGTGACTCGCTACTAAATAAAGTCACTGCCTCTTCCCTTTTCCGGAGGATCATTCACACAGCACGAAGGTCATCCGATTCAAAGCGTTCCATTGAATCCCACCTTTGTTGGCGAACACAAAGAACTAAAGCACACGCAGTCACATTTTCCTACGCACAAAACATGTCCCCTTCCAAATACACAGTTAAACATAGTTTTGCATCCAAACACACTCATAAGTTCCTATGCTATTGGTCAAAAAGTACCAGTTTTGCAAATGCCGATCATATATGTCTGTAATACCATGATCACTCCCTTGATGGCGTGCCTCGCAATGACGATAATAAACTATTTATTTATTTATATATATAGATAGAATGTTTAGACCGAAGCGTTGACTCAATCTTAAGGTGGAGGGATCAGGATGTCGGCGGCAGTTGTCTGTGAGCAAAGCGGTATCACACCCTAAATTTGAAGTAGGTTACATGCAAACGCTGACTGGTCCCTGGACAGTATGGAACTCCAGAGCCCAGATGAAATACTAGCGGTGTACTGGCTGTTGTTAAGAAACAGCAAGCGTCAACTTTAAGCATCCGACGGTCAGATCATTTATCAGAATAAAGACAAAAGGAGCCTCAAGCAGGAGGCGGAGGAATAAAACGGATGGAAAGTCGGATGCATGAGAGCGATGCAGGCATCACGATCTAAATGGGAGAACGTGTACTTGGAATGGGAGCCCAGTTAGGAAAATAGTTGGATACTTAGCCTAGTTGAATTTACTAAAGTGAAGCAGTTGGAGTTAAGAAGCAGCGGACGAAGACACTGCAGATTCATAAAGGGGATACTGCTAAACATGTAATGGCCGAAGTATAAGCAGGCATAAGGTAAAAAATGAAAACGTTGAAAGTAGGAGGGTTGTGTGCGATGCGTTCCCATGGAAATTAAAGGGGTCAGTTAAAATTAATTGGAAGTAAGCCGCGTGCTTGGCGGCCCTTTGAGACATTTCAGTCACGTAACAGATAAAGTAATGGAGATTGTGGGCGACAGGCCAACAGAATTGGTGATAGCAAAGAAGAAAGTAAGGTCACAGGAACCTAAAGCATAAGATAAATGAAATGGAAAAGTTGTTAATTTGGATGACTGTAGGCCGTGCGTTATCACAATGGGAATAGTAGCCAGTATACGTGAAATGGGTGTAAACCACATACTAGGCGGCGATTCGGGGCGTATCAGCCATACTAGAGATAAACGGATAGAAAGAGATGTGACAGACAATGCCGTTTACA